CAAAAAAACTAATCTAGTCGACACAAAAACATATTTAATGCTTTCTAATCTCAACAAGACTCCTTAAATCAGCTTTGACTAGTGTTGGTAAAATGAGCTCATATTTTTATGGGAAAATTTTCAAAATGTCAATATTTTAGCATTTAAAAGGATCTCTTAGCCACACTTTCAATATTTATTAAAAATGTCAAAATTTTAGTTTGTTATGTATCTGATTTATGTTTTTATTATTTATTTTTATTAAAAGAATACAATTGTTAAAAACAGAATGGAGAAATTTAGGGGAGAGAATATTTTTAAAAAAGAATTTATCCTTAGAGAATTTACTGTTCTACCATAACTTAATTATGTATATGCCATTGATCGTTCCAAACTCAGCCAAACCTTAAACAAATATTAAGACATCTACTGCTATTTAGGATGAAAGATATCAAAAGGATTTCAAATAAGGCAATTTTTAAATTTAATCCAACAAAGTTACCATAATTACTAATCATAATTTTGGTTTAACTTTAACTAGGCCTAGTTTTTTTTTTCACTACTCTTACGCTCTTTTCATATTTTACTTTTGGGATTAAATTTTGAAAAATCTCTTTCTTATTATACGTGTTTGGTTCCACAATTGACATGGCTTCTCTCTCCCTTATTCCTCAAATTTCCAATATTATTTTTTTAACACTCCATTAAAAATACTCAATTCATGTCGAATTGAAGTCGATTGATTTAAGATTTTTTGCTGGCAGTGAAGAAGATTTTAGAATGAATACAAAATAATAATAAAAAAAGAAATACAAAATTTGTTGGCATACAAAGTGAGATTGAAATACAAAGTGAGCACAAAAAATCTAAAACTTGTTAGCATACATTTAGAATTAATACAAAATAAAAAGAAGTACAAAATTGTTGGCATACAAAGTGAGATTGAAATACAAAATGATATTGAAATACAAGTGAGCACAAAAAATCTAAAACTTGTTGGCATACATTTAGAATTAATACAAAATAAAAAAGAAAAATCAAAATTTGTTGGCATACAAAGTGAGATTGAAATACAAAATGATATTGAAATACAAAGTGAGCACAAAAAAATACTAAACTTGTTGGCATATAGTTAGAATGAATACAAAAAATAAAAATAAAAAAATTGTAGGAAGCCTAATTTAGAATAGCATACAAAATTCTGTAAAACTATTTATCTATTGTCCTATAATATAATACAAAATTAAACATATACATAATTTGAAATGAATACCACCTACAAAATAAATACAAGTTACACCTAAAAAACTCAAATTTTAGCAAGATACCACATGAATTTTGTAATGAATTCAAAATGCAACAGACAATAAAAACAGTAAAGAATGCAATTTGATAGTTTAGATACAAAATGCAACATGTCATAAAGTTATTTTTCATCACTTTGATATTCAACAATTTCATAAACTTCCCAAATATTGACATTCGAAAATGACACTTCTTCACCCGACACTTCTTTCAGATCCAATTCAATACTTTTGAACGATTTATCCTAATATTGGCACTTCTTCACCTCGTAACTCTTCCAGATCCAGATCCAACATACAAGACATACAAAATACTTTTGTATCTCAATACTTCGACAAAGGTTGAAAATCTTTTGAATAATTTCTAAGATTTCTTAGAAAAATGGAGGATTTTGATTTTGAAAAGGCAAGGTTTAAGTTACTTGAGGATATAGAATAATGAAAGAAATCTTAAGAAAGAGAAATGATAGAATTTGGGTAAAAAATTTAGAGAGTGAAAAGTGGGTAATGGAGTCTTTTATTTTTTCATGGGCCCAATTTGAGAAATAAAAGGAAGATAAATGAATTATATTAGGATACACTTTATTTGTTAAAATATTGACATTTTGACATTTTTAATAATTATTTTAAAATATAGTTGTTTTTAATAATTATGTTAATAATTTTGACTAGTTAGCTAATTTTCCCTATTGCTATATTACTATGATTTTTTTGGCAATAATATGCAGATCTTTTTTAGTAGCAATTTTGTTTTCATTTATTCTTCATTTGATTTAATATCAAAGAATTACTAGTTGAAATGTTTTTTTCTCATTGAATCTCCAAGAAGTGGTGTCAACTTGAGACTTTTACTTTTAATAATGGAGAACGAAAAATGAAGTGTCGGATATGAAAATCAAAATCTTGATCACCTCAACTATCATATTGCCTCAAAAATTTATTGATCTAATTACATTTTAACTATGCATTTAGTGAAGATAGTGGTGAAATTACGCTCCAACTTCATTAGTTAGTAAAGGAGAAAAAAATTAGATCATGACTCTTGCAAGTTCACACCGTCGTAACTTTATTTCTTTCTAGCAAGCAAAGATCTCAGAAAATTTAATTATTTTTTTTTTTTGGGGGGGGGGGGGGAGTTTTTCCAATAATAATGAAATTATGAAGAAAAACTTTTGTTGGTAGTAGTGTGAACTGCATATGTATTTTTTGAGACAAGGGTAACTTTGTATTAACAAAAAACTCATCATCCAAGAAATGAAGAGGAAGAATCTTACACCCACCAAAAGTATGGAAAATCCTCGAAAAGGACTGCAAAAGTAGAAGAACTTTACAAGTTACCTATAAAGTCAACTAGTGCTACTATATCCCCCAATTCTTTTTTACACCAAAATACAATAAACTAAAACTCTGACTCTTTATCTTCTGAATGTTGCTACTCTTGCCTTCAAAACATCTGGTATTCTGTTCCTTCCATAGTGTCCACTAGATACATGCTGGAATGGCCATCCACCAGTTTTCCTTTGACCCTCTACTACCAATACCTTTCCAAATGCTAAGCAGCTCCATAGTGGACTTTGGCATCACCCAACTGACCCCAAGAATACTGAGGAACATGTCCCACAACTTTGTGGCTGCTTTACAATGAAGGAACAGATGGAAGTTGCTCTTCGCGTCTTGATCACACATAAAACATCTTGAACAAATTTGCATTCTTTTTCCTTGTAGGACTTCATGAGTTAGACATGCTCTTTTAATTGTCATCCATACGAAACAAGAGACTTTCTGAGGGCTTGTGACCTTCTAAATTTGCTTCCAAGGCCAGAAGCCCGCTGTGGATTGATTGTTATTCTTCTTCCAGTAGCAAGATTTAACTGTAAAAACCTTTTTTTTTTGTGAAGCAACCAAATAGGTTTATCAGTTCCATTAAGTATCCTAGGAAACGTACTCAACAATTGAAGGAATCTTGCAATCTCTGAAACTTCTCAGTCATTCATAGCTCGCCTGAAAACCAAATTCCATCCTTGGGGACTCTAAACTTGTGACACTAAAGCATTTTTTTGTGAACTTAAGACATATAGCTGAGGAAATAGAGTTATCAAATTGTTTTCCCCTAGCCAGGGTTCATTCCAAAAATCTATTCTTACTCCATCACCCATTTTAAAGGAGATGTTAGTATAGAATTGTGGCCACAACCTTCTGATGGAATTCCAGACACAACAACCAAAAGTTCCCAAAACCTCTTCAGTAGACCATTGGTTTAGTAAACCATATTTCTCAGCGATAAATATTCTCCATAGAGCTCTATCATCTGTGTAGAATCTCCAGAGTCACTTCTGCATTAAGGACTCATTCTGGATATTAAGGTTTTTGATCCCAAACTCCCCCCCCCCCGATTCTTGCTGAGTGTGAGGGTATCCGATTTAACCAGATTGTACCCTTTTTTCCCTTACTGCCTTGCCACAAGAAGGATCTCATTAACCTGTTAATCTTCTTCTCTATACTCTTGGGAATTGGGAACAAGCTCATCATATAAATAGGGAGGGCATCTATTACAGATTTGCTGAGTGTCAACCTACCTCCAAAAGATAGATATTGGCTTTTCCACCTTGATAATTTTTTTCCACTTCTCTCCAAGACTTCATTATATACCTCAATCTCTTTGTTTTTGGCTCCCAAAGGTAAACCAAGATATTTGGTTGGAAGGGGAGCCATCTGGCATCCAAGAGTATCTGCTAGCAGTTGCAAGTTGTCCACTTGATTGACTGGATGAATAAAGCTTTTATTCCAATTAACATTCAATCCAGAAATGCCTTCAAAAATAGTTAGGATAGCTCTAAGGTGTCTGATCTGGGATATATCTGCATCACCAAAAACTAGTTAGTCATTAGCATATAATAGGTAAGTGACTTCCATAGCAGCACTACCCCTGTTAGGTGAAGCAAAAACCCTTAATCCATCCATTGCTCTTTGCCATTCTGATCATGTGATTTAAACCCTCCATGGCTAAAATAAAAAGAAAAGGAGACATGGGATCTCCCTGTCTCAAGCCCCTTTGTGACCGAAAAAACCCTTCATTACTACCATTTATGATGAGGGAGAACTTCACAGTGGATATACAATAATTGATCCAATTTATCCATTTGGTACCAAAACCCATATCTTTAAAGACTTTGAGAATGAAAGACCAATTAACATGGTGATAAGCCTTCTCAATGTCTAACTTGCAAAAAATTATCGAGGTCTTCTGTCTCATCCTAGAATCCACCAACTCATTGGCTAGTAGAGTTGCGTCCATGATTTGTCTATCCTTCATAAAATCCATTTGATGTTCATCCACTAGCTTTCCCATGACAGCTTTTAACCTTTCAGTGATAAGCTTGGAGATAATCTTGTAGACTCCTCCTATTAGACTAATTGGCCTAAAATCTCTGAGCTCTTCTACTCTTGCCTTCTTTGGTATGAGTGCTATGAAAGTGGCATTTAATGACTTCTCGAAAACTTCCTTGTGATGGAAGTTCTGAATGGTATGCATTAAGTCCTCATTTACAAATCCCCAACACTCTTTAAAGAATTGCATAGTGAAGCCATCAGGTCCGGGTTATCGCCATTACACTGCTTTACAACTTAGAGCACTTCTAGTTCTGAAAAAGGTCTTTGCAGCCAATCTTGTGCCTCTTGGGTGATATTGGGACAGTCTATCATTTCAATGGATGGTCTCTAGGGTTCTGATTTTGTGTAAAGCTTGTTATAGAATTCAATCATAATCATTTTGACCTCTCCTAGTTCTTTAATTTCCACCCCATAAGACACAAGCCTATTAATGGTGTTGTATCTCCTATGTGCAAAAGTCATTCTCTGAAAAAATCTGGTGTTATTATCCCCATTTTTCAGCCACAGAATTCTAGATTTCTGCCTCCAAGTTGACTCTTCATTTTTAGCCAGCACCTCCAGTTCCACAAGAATTGTGGCTTTCACTACCATTTCGTCTTCAGTCAAGACCCTATTATCTTGAGCTAAGTCAAGCTCTGCCAGCTCTTGCAATAATGTGTTTCCTCTGTTAGTATGCTCCCCAAGAACGAATTTACTCCAGATTTTGAGCTTCTGTTTCAATACTTCTAGTTTAGCACAAAGCTTGAAATCTGGACAACCTTCGACCATTATGTCATTCCACCATCCTCTAACCAGGTCGTTGAACCCTTCCACCTTAAGCCACCAATTTTCAAATTTGAAACCAGATTTCTTCTTCTCCCAGTTTCCACATTCAAGTATGATAGGGCTATAGTCGGAAACAACTCTGGGAAGAGTTCTTTCTTTGATATTTCTGAAGGTCTCCTCCTACTCCATAGAGTACAAGAATCTATCCGGCCTAGCAGCACTCCTATTATTTACTCCCCTAAACCATGTGAACTTTCTTCCATTCAAAGGGGGATCATGGAGTTCCATGTTTTCAATCCGTCTAGAGAAATCTGACATTACATTTGTGATTCTGGTGCAACCCCTTCTTTCACCCATGTATCTAACAGTATTGAAATCACCGCAGCCAATCCATAGTCCCCAACATAGCTCCTTAATTGCTGCCAGTTCCTCCCAGCATTCAAGTTTCTCGCTTCTACTGTGCGGAGCATAAACTCCAGTGAGAAACCATGAGAAAAAGTTTTGAGCAGACTCTAATTTTAGGGTGATTGAGTAGTGTCCTATTTCAACCAAAATTCCATTCCAGACCCTGTTGTCCCACATGATCAGAATTCCCCCATGTTTCCTTCAGCTTTAATAAATCCACATCTCATCCACCTGCTTGGTCAAAGCATTCTAGCAACATCCTTTACATCTTTGTTTATTTTAGTTTCTTGAAAGCAATAACCATCTGCTTTCCACTTTTGTAATGAACTCTTAACAAGATTCTTGTTGGAATTGTTCTTAAGTCCCCTTACTTCCAGGTAATAAGATTTATATTCATTCAAAGATTAAAACTCAAGGCTCTCCCCCTATTTTTGACTCCATCCACTTCTTCATTAAGGCTAGATTGGAGTTTCTTTAGCTTGTTTTTTCCCGATTCCTTTGCTTCTTTGCGTTGTAACAACTTTCCCTTGTTCATTCTTATCCATAACAACCTTCCACTCATATATCCTCATAAGCAAGTCTAAAGTTTCTTTTTCGAACCCCTCAAAAGCCACCCCATATGTGTTGCTCAACTCCAAAATATGGGAGGCAACCCAATTAGAGGCCTTTGTTTCTGATTCTCTTTACCCCCCCACCGTTAAAGTGGCCACTGGTTCGGCATCGTGCACCTGTTGTAATTGCATGTTGTTCTCTATTATTTTCAACTGTGACGCCCTCCATAATTGCCTCTGTTCTCTGAATGATCAGCCTTATCTATGATTTCGATGGTCTGTGCATTCACCCTTGTTTGCATAGGAGGAATTTCAGCTATCACATTTTCTTTATTCATACTTGTAGTCGTTGCTTCTTTGTCCTCCAACTCCCAATCCCTTCATGCCTCTAGAAACTTAGATGCTAAAGCTTTGATCTCCATCAGACCTTTGGAGCTTCTCCCTAGATCATCGTATGATGTTTCTTTCTCATTAGAAGTACCTACATGATCCTTACTTGCCTTTAATGATTTAGTTGAAAGTTCAGGGATAACCACTGGGTCTTTCCCTTTAGCAGAATTGTTTTGGCTCCTACAGTTGTGAATACATTTAGAAGCACAAGCCCAAGTTCCTCTTAAAGGAGTGGAGCCCCTTGTCTCTCCATGTGTGGTTTCATTGTCACGTGGCCTTGATCCTGATGCAAAGCTATTTGAAATATGTTACCCCAACTCCTTTGGTTTTTTCCCGATGGACCTCTGGATATCCAGATTAGAGCAACTGGGAGTTTCAACCACCACTCTCACCAGAGAATCAGCCCAAATTTGGATAGAAAATAAGATTCTGTTGTTTACCACCGTCACTTCCTTAGGAATATCTCTTCCATCCCCACAAACTTTTATCCTCGCCCATTTAAGATGATTCCTAAGTTATGTTTCCTCTTCAGTCTCAACCCATCCCCCACATGTTTCTCCAATAGCTCTGAAGACTTTTTGGGACCAGAGGTGAAAGGGAAGTCCACAAATTCTCACCAAAGTTGTATTTGGTTTGTCCTTATCCTCGACAACCCCTATCACCGGGTTCCACCACTGTAATCTAAGGGGGAAATTTTTCCAGCACCAGTTACCTGCTCTGCCACGTTCCTGGAGGCAAACTCGAAAAGGAACATTTCACTGCCCATCTCGTAGATGTTTAGACCGTGAGACTGTTTCCAAGTGTTACTGGACCACCTTCTCATCTCTGCAAGAGTAAGGGGTACATTTACTTTGTTCTCGAATTTCCCCACCAAACTTCTTTTCAATACTTCATTCTGCAGGAATGAGTCATCATTAATGCATATTTTACGCCCCTCTTTCGTAAACATACTGGCCACATCTACATCATTTATTCCACCGCCAGACTTCTTCAACATAGAGTCTGTATTTATGGGATCTGCATTTATGAAACTTTTATCCCTGCTGGACCATTTACTGCTCCTAAGAGCTTCAGAATAAGGAATATTTTTGTTAGTCAATGATACGCTCAAATTACACCTCCCTAAAGAAGTATAAGCGATTGTTATCAAGTAAAGAACTCAACTTGTAGGTTGGGGTCGATCCCACGAGGAATATGAATTAGACTTAAACTTAACTCACTATTATATCTGTTTAGTCAAGTTATTTCCGAGACAATTAAGTAAATAGGGGTGGGGGTTTGTGTAACAAATAACTGATCGTTGTTTTGAAAGCAAGTGAGCAAGATTCAAACTTTAGTTGTTATTAATGAGAGAAAGAAACTAGGGTGTATGTGTTCCCCATAAGCTCATAACGCGGTAATCGTAGTAATAGTAATTCTTTCCTAATGTATCACATGCAAAGTGGTAAGTTATGTATCCCTAAGTCCTTGGTCCGGCAAATATGGAATTTCACCCCACACCTTGGTCCGGCTACGTGTGTATAATTTACTAACTCTTACCTTTACCTCATATTAGACATCACATCAATGTATGGCTTAGTTTTCACCCTCGCACCAATTGACATTAGACTACTAGATAGTATCACACTAAATCTATGTTGAAAATTCTTTTCTTATTAACTACCTCCTTGGTCCGGCAAGCAACAACAAGGCGAGTTCTAACGTTGGCCACCGTTAAAAAGACTTCTAAACAAAAGAATTATCAATGCATGCAATTACACTATTTAAGAATTACTTAGTTACTATTCATACTTTGTTAATTTCTCATGGTTCCCACAACCCTAGTTGTGGATTTAGTTACCCATGCTAGCAAGAACACAATTCATATTTTTAGAAGAAGAATTCATGAACTTATGTAATGAGTAGAAGAAACCTGAAATCTCCAATTGAAATCCAAAGCAAGAATCTTTATAAATCGAAATTAGGAAATCAAACTGCTAATATTTGCAAATTAATTTCCAAGAACGCAACAAGAACTAAATTTAAACAATAGTGGCTAACCCCTAAAAATGAGGCTTACATACCCTATTTATAGAAAACATAATCCCAAACAAAAAGGAAACTAAATAAGGAAATAAACTGTTGGACGCAGCTTCAATCGACGAGACTGACCTACGGACCATGGATCGACCTACGGTATGAACTTTTCCACAGAGGTTGGAACCTTCAACTTTCTGATGCAAATGACAGACCTGCAGAACGGACCATAGGTTGACCTACGATCCGTGGGTCCCCTCTCGTGGCTCCACACTTAGAACTTTTAATCATGTACTGGAACTCAGACTTTCAAACAAATGACGGACATGCAGGACTGCCCGTAGGTCGACCTACGGTCCGTCAATGGCCACTATGGTTCCACACTTGGTCAAGACTTCTCTGATGCTCCATCTACGCCACCAACCTACGGAGCGTGACTGGACCTACGGTCCATAGGTCACCTCCGTAGGTGACTCCTTCTGCAGAAATTCAGTTGATGTCTCTCTCAACCTCGTCCAAGCCTATTTCCTACAAATATAACACAAAAACATTAATTCTAATACAAAATGGCCCTAGACACACACAACTCTTAAGTGAAATGTATTAAAAATACCTTAAACTCACTGTATATCAACACCCTCAACGTAAATTCGTTGTTGTCCTCAAGCGACACGCTAAGACTCTAGACGACACTTGTGTAGAAGCATACTTTCAAGCTCAAGCAATCACATGGCTTTCTATCCCAACTCCCTTTTCTAGTGCAAATGCTTTCTCTTAGACTCTACAAGCTAACTCATGCGGATCAAAATAGGACAAAGATCGAACAATAGACTCACAACATACACTTTTTTCACAATCACAAAGGTACCAACTTTCTGACAATGTAACTAGTGCCCTCACTTCAAACTAAATCTTTTTTCACACAGAAGATATGAATTTTAGAGTTTTAGGATTCATTCAACACTCACGCTCAAAAGTGACTTCAAGTACAGTTAGTGCTCAATACCATAGGTTTGCCCTTATTTTCACTCCTTAGACTCTCCTAACTAGTTGTTAGGATCACAATAGGACTTTCTTAGCTTGTAATATAGGGTCGGGGTCAGGTGTGGTACATTTGGGTACCTTTTTGTGACTTTTTTCCCTCCTTGACATTACATTGGCTTTTTACCTCTTCCTTGACCTACTTTTGGTAACTTTTCATCCCATTTTCCTTCCCTTCTCTTTTCAACCCAGGATGGGACATTTGACTTTGTGATACTTGTTTATCTTTTCTTTTTCTCTTTCTTCTTTTTATTTCACTGTATTTTTCTTTATTTATTTTCACACTTTCACTTATCACATTCTTTTGCCTTTTTCGCACTTTCTTTCTTTTTCTCTTTTCAACACTAAACTATTTTCATACCCTTTTTTCCATTTGGTTTCCTCTTTCATAGCCACCCTCAACTTATGCATTTTGCATTAGTTGAGGTTCACAATGTCCGATGTTGGACCAGGGCCAAGATCCAGGTAACTTTTGGCTTAGCCACCCTCAACTTAGGCTTTTGGCCTAAGTCAAGGTGCACATATCCAAGGAGGGACTGGGGTCAAGACCATTGTTTTAAGGGAAGGTGAGTTAGGTGAATCAAAAGAAATGGTCGATTTTAGGCTCAAATATTTGGATCAAAAGGGAATAATGCTACTATTTGGTTAGATCATTTTAGGCTTAAGTGGACTAATTTGAACAATGGCCTATGATCACTTCCCAACTTCTAGCCTAGATTATCCTAGTAGGACCAATGGAGAAAGTTCTAGATTGGCACAAAACTGTCTGAACATTCAACTATCCTCAGACACTCTTGGCACCTTGTTTTATTATCAGATTATCAAATTACCCAATTCAAGTTTTTAGCTTAAGTCATGAGATCAAATTGGTTCTTTATCATGTCATACTCAGAGCCAACACATTCAACTCATTCTAGCCTACATATTTTAGTACATATCACAACTTTTGGACAGGACGGGTATCAATTTTTATTCATACTTATGCCATCATGCTTCATTCTTTCTCATGCTTCTACACATACAATCCTAACACATGCCGATTTAACAGAAATTAAAACAATCTTTTGGGGGAAAAGAACACATGCAAGAAAACCCCAAGAGAGGATTATGAGTTGGGTTACTCAGACTTCACCCTATCACTCACAATCCATTTACCCCACCCCCGACAAAATAGAGTGC